TTGCTACTGAATAATGTTGGTTTTGTGTGTTGTTTTTTAAAATATAATTTTATTGATTTCAGAGAGGAAGGGAGAGGGAGAGAGAGAGAAACATCAATGATGAGAGAGAATCATTGATCGGCTGCCTATCAGGTATTGCTACTGAATAATGTTGGTTTTGTGTGTTGTTTTTTAAAATATAATTTTATTGATTTCAGAGAGGAAGGGAGAGGGAGAGAGAGAGAAACATCAATGATGAGAGAGAATCATTGATCGGCTGCCTATCAGGTATTGCTACTGAATAATGTTGGTTTTGTGTGTTGTTTTTTAAAATATAATTTTATTGATTTCAGAGAGGAAGGGAGAGGGAGAGAGAGAGAAACATCAATGATGAGAGAGAATCATTGATCGGCTGCCTATCAGGTATTGCTACTGAATAATGTTGGTTTTGTGTGTTGTTTTTTAAAATATAATTTTATTGATTTCAGAGAGGAAGGGAGAGGGAGAGAGAGAGAAACATCAATGATGAGAGAGAATCATTGATCGGCTGCCTATCAGGTATTGCTACTGAATAATGTTGGTTTTGTGTGTTGTTTTTTAAAATATAATTTTATTGATTTCAGAGAGGAAGGGAGAGGGAGAGAGAGAGAAACATCAATGATGAGAGAGAATCATTGATCGGCTGCCTATCAGGTATTGCTACTGAATAATGTTGGTTTTGTGTGTTGTTTTTTAAAATATAATTTTATTGATTTCAGAGAGGAAGGGAGAGGGAGAGAGAGAGAAACATCAATGATGAGAGAGAATCATTGATCGGCTGCCTATCAGGTATTGCTACTGAATAATGTTGGTTTTGTGTGTTGTTTTTTAAAATATAATTTTATTGATTTCAGAGAGGAAGGGAGAGGGAGAGAGAGAGAAACATCAATGATGAGAGAGAATCATTGATCGGCTGCCTATCAGGTATTGCTACTGAATAATGTTGGTTTTGTGTGTTGTTTTTTAAAATATAATTTTATTGATTTCAGAGAGGAAGGGAGAGGGAGAGAGAGAGAAACATCAATGATGAGAGAGAATCATTGATCGGCTGCCTATCAGGTATTGCTACTGAATAATGTTGGTTTTGTGTGTTGTTTTTTAAAATATAATTTTATTGATTTCAGAGAGGAAGGGAGAGGGAGAGAGAGAGAAACATCAATGATGAGAGAGAATCATTGATCGGCTGCCTATCAGGTATTGCTACTGAATAATGTTGGTTTTGTGTGTTGTTTTTTAAAATATAATTTTATTGATTTCAGAGAGGAAGGGAGAGGGAGAGAGAGAGAAACATCAATGATGAGAGAGAATCATTGATCGGCTGCCTATCAGGTATTGCTACTGAATAATGTTGGTTTTGTGTGTTGTTTTTTAAAATATAATTTTATTGATTTCAGAGAGGAAGGGAGAGGGAGAGAGAGAGAAACATCAATGATGAGAGAGAATCATTGATCGGCTGCCTATCAGGTATTGCTACTGAATAATGTTGGTTTTGTGTGTTGTTTTTTAAAATATAATTTTATTGATTTCAGAGAGGAAGGGAGAGGGAGAGAGAGAGAAACATCAATGATGAGAGAGAATCATTGATCGGCTGCCTCCTGCAAGCCCCCTGCTGGGGGTCGAGCCTGCAACCCCGGGCATGTGCCCCGACCAGGAACTGAACCGTGACCTCCTGGTTCATAGGTCAACACTCAGCCACTGAACCACACCAGCCGGGCTGAATAATGTTTTTATTCCCTGTGGCTTTAGGGGAAAGTACTCCCAAGAAGAGGACGGAGGACGAGAGCCAGGCTGGTGGGGCGAGCGCGGGCTGCAGTGACACAGGTGAGCCGACACTAAAAACCTCCTGAGTGTGCGCCACGCTCCCTGCACTAATGCACTGGACGAGGTGAGGGCAGTGGTGGTCATGGCGACTTCCTGTCCCTGACACATCTGAGGGAAATCAGGATGGTCACTAGACCCTGCAGTGCTGAGAGTGGTTGGTGCTGGCACGGTCACTGTCCCTCAGGTGGAATCACCACAGGTGTCTTTGCAGAGAGAGGGGGAGGGGCACGGAGGGAGCAGGTGGGACAGAAGTCATCCCTTCACTCCCAGGGACCAAAGGACCAGGCACCCTTGGGGACGACCGTCAGGACATTGAACACAGAGCGATGGACGATGGACATTTAATTTTCTTCTGCAGCCAGTGGGGAGGTGGGAGGGTGTGGAGGACCTGGTGCCATGTGCTCATTCACAGCTATGAGTGCACCAGACAAAGGGCCACTCAGAGTCCCGGGGCAGCAGGTTTGTGCGTCCTCTACCTCGGACACTGGCTCTAGGTGTCCTGTGATGGACACAGCACCAGCCGTGTCACCAGCTGTGTCACAGTCACCCCAGGGGGAGAGCAGGTTGACTTTAGTGCAGCTGTGTGAGCCCCATGGAGGGAGGATGCATAACACCCTCAGGACACTTTGATCTGAGGGAAGCAGCCCTGCGGGTGGGGGTGGTGGGGGGCGGTGAGGAGTGTTTCTGAGGGGACTCACAGTTGGCTGATGGTCCACAGGTGCTGAGCAGGGGAAGGGTCAAGCCTTTAAGAGCCCTGCCCTCACGGCTTCGCCTGGGCTGTGACGGGGAGGCGGGAGCCATGGAGCTGGGGAGGAGGCTGCTGGTCCCAGCCCTGGCGCTGCTCTGCTTCCTGCCGCCCGGGCCTGGGAACTGCGCAGAGGAAGGTACGTGGACTCTCCCCAGGATCTAGCCATTGCCTCTTGTTTTTGCCTGAGTCCAAGTAGGGGAGGGCTCTTATCGCTCTTAGGTAGCAATTTTCCTCTTGATTAGTGCCTCTTAAGTACTGTGTCCTATGGAGTCAGGAGGAGCAGAACTGAACACTGGGCATTAAACCTGAAATACAGAATTTGTGGTTAAAAAATCCCAATAGGCTTTTGTTCATCAAGTTAGTGAAGACAAAGGACAGTGGGTAGCCGGGCGCATGCTTTGCTTCCCGAGGCTCCAGGCTTCTGCCAGCAGGCGTCTGCCCTGCACGGTTCCCCCCCTCACCCCCTTAATCCAGGCCTCAGGGACTCCCGCCCATCAGGTCCTGGTGAGTCTGATCCTTCCTAAGGAGGAGCTTGGGTGGGGATCTCCTAAAAGGAGCCATTTAACGAATTGCACCAGGAATATTTGTCCTGGAAGTAGCCTCGGAAACAAGGTGACACTGTCCAGCTTCAGGGCAGCTCCTGGTCCTACTGTGCTAATGACCGCGGGGTCAGACTCCAGCCCCACCCACCCAGTGCCGGCCACCAGGACACTCCAGGGTGATAGTCATTCTGTGTCCGGACACTGAGCCCTGGACGTGTGGCTAATGTGATGGAGAAACTAACCCTAACCCCTTAACCTTATTGTGTTTTAATATATTTTTATTGATTTCAGAGAGGAAGGGAGAGGGAGAGAGAGAGAAACATCAATGATGAGAGAATCATTGATCGGCTGCCTCCTGCATATGGGGGATTGAACCTGTGACCTGGCCATGAGCCCTGACTGGGAATCATACTGTGACCTCCTGGTTCATAGGTTGATGCTTAGCCACTGAGCCACACCAGCGGGGCTTAAAGGCTCATGGACTTTCAGAACTGGAGGAGTGTGAGCATTACCTAATCGCAGGCTCTTAAAGGAGCTAATCTCTACAGAACACGCCTATAGAATGGTCACCTTGCTTATACCTCTGATGCCAGGGGCAGAAATAGAATGGTGGGGGCCAGCTAGAACTGTAAGGAATGTTACTCCTGCTCCGTTCACCATGACTGTCTCCTTCTGATTACAGAAGGCGCATCCTAACCTGGCTGGGAGTTACACACACAGGACGTGGGCGCTCACCCGGAAGGGCGGCCCACCCTCCCCATCGGGAGCTGCCTGTGATCACAGACAGATTAACAACCTTGTTGCAGAAACCAGAGCTGATAGCCCTTTGCAAACCCCCAGCCCGCATCACCTGTGAACCGCCCATTTGACATACCTTTTGCCGACTTCCCCATGTAATCTTTAGACTGTGTAATGCCCTCCTCCAGGTCAGAGGACACCACAGGCTTCAGAGGGGGCTCTGTCTGCAGTGGTCCTTCCTGTAGGCACAGGACATGGACAGGAAGGCACACACTTTCTGAAGGGGCTGGGGTTTACCCCCAACAGACACAGCGGGAAGGAGCCAGAGGGCGGGGGCTGTGAGGGCCAGGTGGCTGCGGGAGGCCCCGGTCAGCCCAGCACAGACCTTGAACTCTGCAGGGGCCCGTGCTCTGTTGACTACTAGCCTGTCAGAGTTCTGGGGACAGCACGTCCTGGGAACAGTTCACAGAAACGTGCCTGGGCCCGGAACCCACAGGTTCTCAGCCACCCTCCCTGGACCCTCCCAAGTACCCCCACCCCCACCCCATCCTGAGAGCCATTCTGAGCCACAAAACACCCTGTCTTCTTGGTCCTTTCTTCAGGTAAATACTAATCCACACCCAGTCCTGGGGCAGAGAGAGTGATTGGTGTAACACCAAATGAAACTAAGAGCTGGGAGTGGGGTGGAGGCAGTGAGGATGCCCGTAGCCGTCCCCCAAGTCCTTGTCCCCAGTTATTGGACCTCTTTGGAATCCTGCAGTGCCCAGAGACATGGCATGTCTTGGGCAGACACGTGACCCCTGCGTAAAGTGCACTTGTTAAGAGGAGCTCTGAGAGGGCGGGGAGCGTGCATCTCTGATCAGGAGGGTTTGGGCGTCCTGTAGTCCGTGGTGTGGCGCGTGTCCTGACACCCAGAGCTGTTCCCGTTCACGGTCTCCTAGGGGATTTTGGACGAAGCCGGCCGGCCGGCCACCGCAGCTGTGACCAACCCACCCCAGGGAAGACCTCAGTCCCCACGGCCCAGGAGCCAGCCCCGGGAGTTTCTGGCGACCAGGAGAGGTGAGCTGCCTGTTCCCGGGGACTTATAGGCTGTGTTTTCAAGTATGAATTCAGTATTTCTTTCAAAAGGAACATTCCACCTTCATGTCAATGGAGGGAAAAAAGGATTTTTGCAGGAGTTGCTGGGATTAAAGGACCGTACACAGACTGAGCTTCTACCCAGCTGCTGTTTTAGGTGCCATGGTGACGGGGAGACCCCGGTCTGAGCCTCCTTGCCTGGCCTGTGCTGTAGCAAAGACTAATCCAGACACTGACAGCACACCCCACATTGGCCACCGTGTCCCCTTTCCTGCCACAGGGTGTGAGCGCTACAGTGGCCGTGTGGTGTCCATGAACTCAGGTGGTCACTGCGGCAGCAGCGGCACCTGGGGGGCCCTCGAATTTATTGGGCCCTGGGCTGGCTTTGGCGGGGAGGTGGCGGCTCCTGAGTCTTGGGGCAGGGTTTCCGCTGACACCTGAGGGCGCAGGGGTGGGGCCCTGGGAGTGAGCTCTGCATGTGGAGGCCTTGCGGAGAGGGAGCGTCGCCTGAGGCTCCAGGGGTCCTTGAGGGCTGCTGAGCGCTGAGCTGAGCCCTTCACTCTCCCAGCAGCAGCCACGGGCAGCACCGGGGAGGGAGACGGACAGGCTTCCTCTCCCTCCTGTTCAGAGGCCCCCAGGGACCTTCCGTGGGAATCGCAGGCTGCTGGAGCTGGGGTGGCCCCGGTCGCCACCGCCCGATGTGCGCTGTTGGGGGATTGGACGGTGCCTTCTGTGAGCTGGTCCAGGTGGGTGTCTGGGGCGCAGGTGACCCTTGGGCCTGTGGGGACCCGTATTTTGAAGTTCTGGTCCTTTGGACACCGCTGTCAACTTGGGTTTACAGCTGATGTAAAAGTGCTCACTTCCACCCGCCTAGCCGGGCGCAGTGTGGACATCTGATGTAACTGTGCCCAGGTCTGCTGAACGAGCCTTGGGTGACCGCGGGCTCAGGAGCGCTCCTGGCTGCCCCGGAGGGTAGGAATGCCTGCCTCTTCCTGGACGGCACCAGCGCCAGAGCCACTGAGCTTGGGAGCCCTGCTGGCTACTGGCTGAGGACACGCACCAGCGCAGACCCTGCCGCCCACCTGACCCTCACTGGTGTCACCCTGAATTCCAGTGCGCCTGTCCCGCGGGGCCCTGCAGCCTGAAGGTGGAGGTCCCCTCCTGTGCTGTGGGGCCACTGCGCTCTGCAGAGGACCTGGCCCCTGAGCTGCTTCCCAGGACAGATGCCACCACGGGGGTCCCCATCCAGGTGGCCGCATCTGCTCAGATCAGCATCCCGACCTCACAGCCTGCCGTCTGGCCCAGAAGGTAAGGTGAGAGTGGCGTGGAGGCCAGTGTCCCTTCTAGGGGGCTCTCTGCCTTCATGGGGAATGCCCGGGGGGCCATGATCTTACGTCTGCCTTGTTCACGTCAGGGGCAGTGGCAGCCCTGGCCGCCGCTTCAAGGCACAGGCTCAGGACCACGCAGGTGGCGCTGTTTCCTACTGGTGCCCCTGAGACGCTAGCACTGTTTACCCGGCCTTGAAAGTGTCCTCTTGCTGCTGGGAGGCTCTGTCCTAGTTCATGCTGCGCTGGGACCCCACTTTGAGAACAGTGACCGTAAGCCCGCGATCAGGCCCCACAGACCTTGCTGGCGGCTGCTCCCTGCTGCGTCCCATTCCTCCCGGTAATGTGTCACTGTCCTGAGATCTGAGGTTGTGCCCTCTCCCCACAGCCCCCACAGCCTTCCTCCCGGCCCTCCCTGCACCATCAGCCTCTCCACGCTCCGGCCTGGGCACCAGCAGCTCTGGCCCTACGCTCAGTGTCCGGCTGCTGCCTTCCCAGCCCTGGGCCCTGAGGACGCTGCGGATCCTGTCGCCCCTCGCTTCCCACAAGCTGATGCTCAGGCATTTCCGCGTCTGCGGTTCCGGGTTCAAATCACTCCTGAAGCTGATAGGTGTCTGGTGATGGACTTCGGGGATGGTTCTGGGGTTCAGATGAGGACCCACCGTGCTACTGGGGACGTGGCTGTCACCACCTTCCACCGGTACAGGAGAGGTATGTGCTCAGGAGCAAGGGGGCGGGGCATGATGAGGACAGGAAGGCCCAAAGAATGGTGCTGGGACACTGGGCCTCCTCCTTCTCCTCTCCTCCCACCTCCTCCTCTCCTCCTTCATCCTCTCCTCCCTCCTCATCCTCTCCACCCTCCTCCTCTCCTCCCTTTTCCTCCTCTCCTCCTTCATCCTCTCCTCCCTCCTCCTCCACTCCTTCCTCCTCCTCCTCTCCTCCCTCCTCCTCGCCCCCCTCCACCTCCTCTCCTCCCTCCTCCTCTCCTCCCACCCAAAAACTTCCTCTTGCTCCTCCAGCACAAAAAGCTCCTCTCGCTCAAAAAGGTGCAGCATCTCCTTCCCTCCCGCCTCCCCCAGCGGCGCTCCCCCCTTGCTCCCTCGCCTCTGGGGAGGAGGGAGGGGAGGAAGGAGGCAGGAAAAGGCAAAAATCTCTCTTCTCTCTCTCTCTATCTTGTCCTTGCCTGGAATCAAACCTCAGGCCCTTCAATCCCCAGCCCAATGCTCTATCCACTGAGGCAAACCAATTTGCACTCTTCTGCTCTCTTTTTTTTAGGGCCTAAAGTAGAGGGTTTCGATCGCCTTCTTTTTTCAGGTAGATTCAACTAAGACCACTTGTTGAGGTTAGAGCACTCACATTCGCCTCTTGTTGATCACTGAGAGACAATTCTACAGGGCCCCTGTAGTTCCATTGTGAAATCCCTACATGAGGAGAGAGAAAAGGAGAATATGTCACTTTTTTCCATGTCTCTAATATTGGGGAGAAGAGACGGAGTAAGGTGATGTGTGCCTAGCTCCTGAGAAGCCTTCTCAAACTCTGAAAGAACCACAGGAGAACTCCCTGTGGACTAAAAGGCATCTCTGCTCAGCCTCAGTCTTGAAGAATGTCTTGGCTTAATAGTCCTTTTCCAGAGAGCAGGTTGCCTAACGTAGTAAAGAAATTGCACCGTGTGTCTGTTTTCCATCCCATTCCTCTGACCTCATCCTCTTAGATTTCTTCTCTGCAAAGCCAATTTAATGGTTGTATCTCAGACTCAGGCTCAAAAACCTCTGGGATGAGTTGTCACACCTGTATCCTACTCTCACCTCACCCTAGCATAACCGTGTGCACATGTTTATCTACATTAAAAGATGGTGAGAACATCAAGAGAGAATATTGGGAGAGCTATGGGTATATTGACTACTTATTATCTCATCCTAATCTCTAATTTATTATTGCAGTTCTTCCAGAACACTAGTATTTTACTGTGCTTTTCTCTGAAGTTTTCCCTGCCCCTTTACTTCACCATTGACTGCACCCACTCTACAGGGACTGTAATGTGTTAAAAGCACAGTGTAACTAATAGAAATAAAGAGTGCAATACCCCCTCCCCTAAGGTACTCCTTCTAGATGGAGTCTCTCGCTGATGGTCAAAGACAAACAACAGGGTAGATGGATGGTAGAGGGTTCAGTGGGAATGGGTAGCAATTGGAGAAATAAAACCTTAAAAAAAATGGTTCTTTCTTTTGTTCTTTTCCCTTTTTCTTTTTGGAATGACCCACCTGTTGGAACTCCAGTGTGACTGGTTGAATTAGAAGGAACTAGGATCTTCTCTCACCTATAAGAATGAGCTTCCCTTCTGAAATGCTAATCTACTAAGACTTTATGAAACACTGACAGTGGGGTGGGAGGGAGAAGACTGCTTAGACCTGCCAGTAGGGGAGGGAAATCATGTTGAAAGGGAGAGGAAGGTGACTTTATGTCCTTCTTGTGAAAAGGTCAGCTCTTGGATTCTGAGAATATGGGGTTCTCTTAACAGAAATAGGGTGGGTTGAACAGGTTGGAAAGAAAGGTTCTGAGTTGAATTATATATATGTTGATTTTATTATTCTTTTTGCTGGACATAAGTAGGTGGATTGTTGGTTCCCAGTAAACTTCTCGTTGAAAATACCCTTAATAACTCACCCCTTTCTCTGGGGAATCCTTTTTCTTTCCCCCGCCTTCCCCTCACACCTATTTGCAGTTATAGTAAATTTGGACATGGGTGTCGTACTGGTCGGAATTAATTTCCATTGAAAGAGCAGTGATACATAACATGCAAGATTATGAAGGATAAACAAGATTTATTAATTCTTTTTTGGAACTATGTTACTACTAGTAGAATCACTGCAAACGTTATCACTTTCTACGTCAGAGTCGGTATTCAAGGTGCCAAAATAAAGCTCTTCATCGTTACTTTCAGATTCGCAGTACACTTCTTTCGGTAACTTTCTTTGTGCCATTTTGGAGTATTATTTTGAAATATCTTAACAAGCGAGAATGCCTAATTACAGTTAAACGTAATTTGTAAAGCTTTATTTGAAATTCTGCGAAGTATCTCCGAAGCTTGTCGATTTCTTCACTCTCAAAAGGCGACTGACTCGCCACGGTGTTTTGCATGGCGAGTGTGGAACGACCGCGTTTGTTTATATTGAGTTTCGATATCTCTGATTTGTCGGGGCAATGTTTTGGTTCGTGACAAGGTTGCTTAGACACGTAAGAGCTTTCGGAGAAATTATAAACTGATACATGAATGAACAGAGTTAAGATTCGTACGGTTCCTTGCTGTGGTGGCTGAGAGCAGACATACGACCGGAACGGTAAAAAAGCTTTGGTGGCTGAGAGTAGACAAACGACCGCAAAGGGTTAACTTAGTTAGGGTCCTCCTAAGGCTGAGGAAGAGCCACACTCAAGGGACCAAAGAGCCGCATGTGGCTCGCGAGCCCCAGTTTGCCGACCACAGACCTAACATGTTAAAGCTGGGAGTCAGATGAGCAAGTGAAAACCCACAGGTGGGGTTGGGATTAGGGCAGTGAAGGCGAACCTTTTGAGCTCGGCATGTCAGCATTTTGAAAAACCCTAACTTAACTCTGGTGCCGTGTCACATATAGAAATTTTTTGATATTTGCAACCATAGTAAAACAAAGACTTCTATTTTTGACATTTATTTTATATATTTAAATGCAATTTAACAGAAAAACCAACCAAAAAAATGAGTTCACGTGTCACCTCTGACACGCGTATCATAGGTTCGCCATCACTGGATTAGGGAGTTGCTGACGGTCATTACCTGCTGCCATGTTACAACCGCCGCAGCCCGGAGCTCCTCCTCTCAGGCGGTTTCCTCAGGGGCTGCTCCTGGCGGTGGGCTGCTCCCACCAGGGCGATGGGGACGTCAGTCAGGGTCTCGTGTGACTCAGCGGGCTAGCCAGCTTCTTCACAGGAGCACAGCTGAGGAGAGCCATCCATGCGCAGGCATCTGCCCAGACTGGCACCAGTTCACAGGGTGGAGATGGCCAGCCTGAGCTGGGCGGCCTGCAGGGTCACGGGGTCGTGTCATCCGGTGTGAAGCCAGGAAGCACGGGGCCACTCTATAGCCTGCCGTGATGGTCCTACAGTCCATTTCCACTGGAGAGTTTACTGAAGTGTCTTCTTGCCCAGCTGTGGGAGGCCAACATCTGTTTTCATTCTTGTGACTTTTCCACACAGAATTAGCTACGTGATCCTCAGGGCCCAAGGCAAAATGAAGATGCCGCCCCTTGTTAACCTTACTAAGAGTGTGAGACAGCAGAGTGTTAAGCCACGTGCTGCGCCCTGTGGAGTGGGGGCTGAGCCACAGCAGGGGAGCGAGCCCACGAGACGGCCCTGTTCCCACAGGAGAAAGGAACAGCGTGGCCTCTGTGTGTCATGTCATTTCACACGCTGGTTGCCCGCCCCCTCCCCCCCCGCCTGGCCCAGCCAAGCCACGGTGTTAGCTGCTGTGCGTGCTTGTCACACTCCCCAAGCAACCACCCTTCTTCTCTGTGCAGAAGGTGTCTACGCGCTCCAGACAGTCCTTTACAGCGAGTCTCACGGGGCTGAGGTGCGACTTGGGCCTTACTACGTGGAACTGGGCCTCGAGGCCACATCTGTGTTCCTGAATGCCAGCAGTGGCCTCAGGGGCCCCATGTGTGCCTTTGGGGGCTCCCCCACGGATCTGAGAAGTAAGCCGTGCACCTGGGGGCTGGGCACCTGGCCCCATGCTCTGGGCGTCCACATCCTCACAAGTCCCCATGCAACACAGAAGCAAACCATTTCAAAGGCACCGACACAACATCCAGGCAGGGC